CTAGGAGCAAAGGGCATCGCTACTAGGGGCAAGGACGTTACTAGGGGTCCTGGCCCTACTACTAGGAGCAAGTGGCTGCTAGGAGCAAAGGGCATCGCTACTAGGAGCAAGGACGTTACTAGAAGCTCCTGGCCTTAGGAGCAAGGACGCTACTAGTGTAACAAGTTTGAGTCGAAGTGCCAGGGCGACAAGAAGGGTCAGAAAGTCAAGGTGAAGGAGGCCACGGAGTCTGCAAGAATTCAAGATTCGGGCAGCTCCTTTTCATCACTTTCATTTTACCATGACCTCATCTTTTGAGGTTGGTGAAGGCCTTGGTGAAATGGATCCTGCAAATGGTGAGGCTTGCCAAGCATGCCCGCTGAGCAGCGCAATGCTTTGTCCTTTCAGCAACAAATGCGCCGACAGGCAGAGGGTGCCTACACAGGACGATCTCCATTCAAGGCCTTTGCAGAAGCTCGTTCCCCGGCCGGCGCCTCAAGAGCTTTCCTTCTTTTTGTGGTGCTGATGTATCAGTCAAGCCAAGCCAGTTGTACTGAAAGCTGAGGACTTACCCTGGCAACTGGCGCGAGTGGCAATTTGTACCGTGGCCTTTGGGTGGATCTGACCTTAGTGAAGACCTGCGAACCTGAAACTGCACTGCAACTGGTATAAAGAGTGCCTTCTGATAGCGGAAAACTCAAGTCAACGAGATGTGTTTGCCTTCTTGAGTCCTCATCAATCACTTCGATGCAGTTCCTTTGTTGCTCCCAGGGTTTACATGGCTATTTGCTTGTTCGTTGCCTGGCCCTCAGAGCTTGTTGGGTCTTCGTCAAAGGTTGATCACATCCAGAGCTGGACTTAGTCAGGAGATGACCATTGGCCAAGACTCGGTGATGAAGCCTCCTGGTGAGCCGCCATGGATCCGTGACCAGAAGCTCCAGCCTCAGAGCTATTTCTCATGAACGTATTAGTTGTGACGCATTTACTCCGCAGGATGGTCAACGTTTGGAAGCCTGATGCTTGGCATATGAGCAGCATGCCACTGCCCGGTGTCTTTGCTGATTTAGTCAAAGCACTCACTTCTTCGCATCATGCTACGCACAGTCCTGTGGTGGTTGTCTACAGTCTACTCGCCATGGGGTCATGGGTTGGTGTTCTCTTTCAACATAGCCTTGGAAACAGAGTTCCACAGCAGAGTTTTGCAGTTTTGCAGCAAAATGCTCCAACCTGCGAGGTGACTACCGTCTTGAGTCCTCCACCCTGGCCAAGTATGAAGATGATGGCTCCATTGGCGGCGACTTTCCTAGAGAAAAGGGTCAACGCTAAACTGTGAGGTGGAATGCGGAGATTCCATGCCGTTCATTTCTGAGGCTACAACTCTGATGATATTCACTCCGTGGGTGTTGGCGTGAGCGGTGTCCAGGAGGATGAGTCACATTCGGGTGGATCCCACTCAGACGAGACACATGCGGGTGATTCCCATGCAGCCGATTCCCACGCAGCCGACACTCATGCTGCTGACTCCCATGCTGCTGACTCCCATGCAGCCGACACTCATGGTGATTCCCATGATACCCATTCTCCAGAAGGCCACGGTGCTGGAGGACCGATGAACTGCCTTGTAGAGCTGTTGCCTTTTTTGCTTGCAGAGCTGTGGAGCTTGAATGAGCTACCAGCTACCACTGACATCACTCCTGGCAAGGACATCGACGCTTGCAAGGCTTGAAACCACTCCAGCTGAAAAGCGGGTCAGATCAAGTGTCAGGACAGTTTCTAGGTTTTAGATTACCAGCTTTAACTGGTCGGCTTTCTTGAAGCCTTTGCCAGTCTCTAATCTCGTTAGAGGTGTCGTATGGGTATGCTCTCAAAGCTCTCCCTAACTTGGTAGCCTCGTGACGTTGATCTCCCTACGGCTCTGCCTGCAGCCCTTCGACGGGCTCTAGGTGCAGACGGCCATTTGTTGCGCGAACTGCTGAAAGCTGCTGACGGCATTGACTGGTTGCAAGATTCCCTTGAGAAGCTGGAGGCAGAAGACGGATGCTGATTCCAGAGAACAAATTGGTTGAATACTGAGTGTGTTGAATATATGCTATTCATGAGTGGTGCAATGGGGTGATCCCAACTCCAGTCGTAGTGATTTCTTGAGCAGTCGACGTGTTGGAAGACGCTTTTCACCTCAGATTACGGTCAGAAGATTCCAATTGTGGAGGCGAATTCCGCTGCCCCGCTCTACGACTTGGCACCTGCACCGGCCATTGGCTCTCCGTTCATGGCACCGACTGCACCCAAGGCCAAGAAGGTGCCGAGCAGCTGAGAACGGCCTGACCACACTGGTTTTGTGTTGAATACTTAGGGGTCGTGGATTCCAAGTTTGCCTAAAAAAGCTAGGAACCAAACGAAGAAGCGTGAGCTATCCTGCATCCTGGCTAGTAGCTGAGTAGCTTACTTCTCCCTTAATTAAGTAGGCACCTACTGCTTGATTCAGTAAGAGCGGGCCAACAAAGTTGGGGGTCATGTTGGAATGATAGGATTTGATAGGGATTGGAGCGCAGGTGAATTGGCCATCGCTCTTTGAGCCGAAGCACCTGCTGTGCAAGCCATGGTCTTAGTGCTGACATCAGCCTAAGACTCAAATGAGATAGAGACAACGTGCATTTCTGGTGCAATCCCTGATGCGTTTCATAGTAACTATACATGTATATAATATATACATGGTATATAGTTGGTAGCACAGTCTCTTTCTGCACAGGGGTCCTGAGCTCATCGCTTTGACACCCCGCGGCTTTGGTGCACATCTTTCAAATCAAGATGCAGAGGCGAAGATGTACTGAAGTCACTAACTTCAGTGACTTCTTGCGACAGATTTCAGATTGCCACCATTCACGTTAACATGCTAACATTCCCGGTGACTGGTGCTCGTCGGTGGCATTCTCTTCCAGTGACAGGAAGCGAAGTCATTTGCCATGGAGGGCCTGGGAGCCAACTCCATTGCTGGTGGCCATTGGGAGAAGGGTCTACAGCTGATCACGAAGGCTCGCGCTTGTCTCAGTGGTTTATTCTTGGAGCGGTTCTTTTCTTGGGGTATACAACGGTGAAACAGATATTTTTTTGAAGCAGGTGTCGGATAGAAGCTGCAACATCTCTGGAAGGCGTTGTCAATAATGGCATGTCAGGTTGGGGAGCTCTTCCATTGCCCAGGGACAGGACCTGAAGAAGGCTTGGAGACACTTCATTTTCACTTGTGTCTTTGCAAGGCATCGAGGAGTGTAAAGGGCAGCTTTGCTTGGAACTCCTGAAGGACGCTGGTCCTGCATGCTCCAGAAGAAGCTGCCACTTCCAGAAAATTCAAAGCTACATGCGGCAGCGATCACCCAGCATGAGGCTCTGTTTGTGATGTTTTGCTCCAGGTTTTCCTTCAGGTGATTCAAGTGTTTTCCCCAAACAATGTGGCCGCACTGGGGGTTCTTACGGTACAGGCGCAAGGGAAACCTCGTTTTTTGGTGGTCCAAAGTCCAAAGTCGACTTTTTGCGGCAGGTGCAGGGGACTGAAGCGGATTTACTGCGATGTCCAGATTTCGTGGCAGGTGCAGTACTTTGGACATGGTGGCTTGTTTTCAACCTCGAAGTGCAGATTTCGTGGCAAGCGCAGCGCTTTGTGAAAATTGGAAGTGCAGATCTTGTGGCACAGCGAATGTGCTGTCATATGTGGGCTCTCTTGTGTGTGCTGTCAAGTGTGTCTCATATGTGTGCTCTCACACGTACTCTAGATCTCTAGACCTCTGGGCTTCTAGATCTCTCTGGGTCCCTAGCCCTTTAGAGCCTGGACCTTTACTGTATATAGATCTCTTTCAACCTTTGGACTTCTAGAAATGTCAACGTCTGGGGGCCAAGACCAGACATCTAGAACTCAAGATCGCCGGAACTCTAGATCTCTAGACCTCTCTCAAACTCTAGAACAGGTCTCATATATGGATTGTGCAAATTTCCGAGAGGAACCTGGAAATCGCTTGGTGGCCTTGCTCTTTGAGAACATGCCTCACATTGTCTCACTCTTCAAAGAGGGTTCCTCTGGCTGGATTGCTGCGGGAGAGGCGCGCGGGCTCACTGAAACGAAGCTTGAGCCAGTCTTTCAGACTGATGCTTTTCTGGAGAGGTGCACCTTGGAGGTTCCGGCGTAAGTGTCTCGTTCTCTGGACAGGACGGCGAGGGAAGGGATTTGCAGTTTGCATTCAGTGAGTCGACCATAGCTCAGATCTATGTAACTTATCATTGGAGGATCTTCTGGCACTCCTCAGCAACGGCTCAGTGATGCGCCGCAATCTTCGAGAAGGAGAGTGTTTGCCTCCTTTCGGCTTTGTAGCTTCCTAGAAGACCAGCAACGTGCCAGGAACCACCAAATGGCACCCAGCACCGGCGGCGACACAGCTTCCTCGTGAGTACCATGCAGCGTGTGCCAAGGAGAACGAGTTTCTGTAGAGAGGAGAGCGAGCTAAAACACACTCTTACTACTAGCAGCATGGACGCTACTAGGGGCTTCTGGCCTTACTACTGGTACTAGAAGCATGGACGCTACTAGGGGCTCCTGGCCTTACTACTAGGAGCATGGACGCTACTAGGGGCTCCTGGCCTTAGCTCCTGGCCTTACTACTAGGAGCAAGGATGCTACTAGGAGCAAAGGGCATCGCTGCTAGGAGCAAGGATGCTACTAGGGGCTCCTGGCCTTACTACTAGGAGCAAGGATGCTACTAGGGGCTCCTGGCCTTACTACTAGGAGCAAGGACGCTACTAGGGGCTCCTGGCCTTACTACTAGGAGCAAGGACGCTACTAGGGGCTTGTGGCCTTACTACTAGGAGCAAGGATGCTACTAGGGGTTCCTGGCCTTACTACTAGGAGCAAGGATGCTACTAGGGGCTCGTGGCCTTACTACTAGGAGCAAGGATGCTACTAGGGGCTCCTGCCCTTACTATACTAGGAGCAAGGACGCTACTAGGGGCTCCTGGCCTTACGACTAGGAGCAAGGATGCTACTAGGGGCTCCTGGCCTTACTACTAGGAGCAAGGATGCTACTAGGAGCAAAGGGCATCGCTGCTAGGAGCAAGGATGCTACTATGGCCTTACTACTAGGAGCAAGGATGCTACTAGGGGCTCCTGGCCTTACTACTAGTAGCAAGGATGCTACTAGGGGCTGCTGGCCTTACTACTAGGAGCAAGGACGCTACTAGGGGCTCCTGGCCTTACTACTAGGAGCAAGGATGCTGCTAGGGGTTCCTGGCCTTACTACTCACGAAACTTGCGGTCGCGGTCTGCACGCTTCCTACGACCCTTCTCCGTGTTGGAGGGTGTCGAGGAGTTCGGTAAATATCTTGTGGTAAGACATTGTGAAAAGGTGGCTATACAAAGTGCTAGGATGACAGACTAGCAAATTAGGAATTCTGCAAAGTGGTTGCACTGAACTAATTAGGTGCTGGTGGCACTGAGACTCCGTCCAGATCCCCTCCTCGATGCCATGCTTCGCGAAGTTTACGTCGGTACAGAAAACGTTGATGAAACGTAAGCTCTGTAGCCGGCGGAACTGCAAAAATCGGTGAGGCATGTCGCATGGGAATCAAGCCATCTGGATGAAAAGGTGGTTTGCATTGAAGGTCTTCAACATATCGCGAAATCGTTCGCTGAACAAGGTCGGAATTAGGGATCTCTGGTCGCAAAGGCATGCCCCCTGTAAAGGATCTTCCCCATCCAATTTGTGTAAGGCTGATAGAACCAGTCTTGGTAAATCTTGGCAGCAGGGGGGTATCTGAGTAACCCTGAAGGTATAGAACGATGGTGCGAAACGCCTCAGCTTGTTCTCGTAGCGATCGTTTGATAGTTGGTAAGGCTAGGACCCGTGGGTCTTGCCAGTGTAATGGTTGTGAACGTTTGTGGTCGTCAAGACAGAGCCAAGTGGGAAATTGGAGGCCTGTATTAATTACGAATGCTATGGTCAATTCAAGCCATGTAATTCCAGAAGTCACAATTGGATCAGAGTGGTCTAAATCTGGATCTGGCCATCGGAGTGCGGCGCAAAACTGAAGGACTAAATCTGCATATTGGTTACCCCAAACACAAGCAGTAACGAAAGCAGGGTGTATATGGGGACGGAAAAAGTGGACTGCAGCATGGATGGTGTAAACTGCTCTGGACCTATAGAGGGCACCCCAATCTAATGATGTATCATGAGATAGATCAGTATACGTCTGAAGCTTTGATTGTTGTTTCTCCTGAGCATGACACAGGTTAAGATCAGCAAGATAGGTGAGAATGCACTGTGTCTGGCGTAATTGGTCCTGATGCCAGAGGTCTGCTCGTTGAAATAGTGTGTCAATTTGAACATGATCAGTATGACGCGCTCGGACTGCGGCATGATCAGCCCACGAGTTGCCAATGACATCATCACGGGCGGGACCCGGAGGTAGGGTTTGTGGGTCCTGATGGGATCGAACTTTACGTAATGAAAAACGTTCAGGATCCCAACAAGTGACAAGGGTTTGCAAAAGATCGGCATTTGCGAGTCGATGCCACTGTAGTGAAGGATTAGGCTGAGAGACTTGGCTAACGGCGTTCATGGCATATTGGGAATCTGTGGTAATGGTGATCTTGTGTGGCCAAGATTGTTGTCGCACGTGCTGTATAATCCATGTAATGGCAGCAAGTTCGGCTCGGGCTATAGTCTGTTGTCCTTGCGCATGTTGGATTTTGATTGTGATATATGGTGTAGAGGATAGATGTGGACAGAACTGGATGAGTGACCAAGCCGCCCGGCGAGTCTCAGGGTGAGTTGGTGTATCGGCGGACCCATCTGTGTAGAAATAGAGTGTGTCATCATGGAGGCGAATGGGTGTATGGCCTGTATCTGCGCCACGATGCGCAAGGAGCTGTCGCAGGATGGTAATGTCCGGGAAAGTATGTGGCAGTGGGAGCCATAGTTTCTGTGGATTACGAGTTAGGTATGACACTGCCTGTGGATGACGTTGTCGAATAGCATGGAATTTGGGACAGTCCAACTGTTGATGGGTATGCGTGTCGGGTTGCCCACAATGAGGACATTTGATGTCAACGGTAGATGTCCATTGGGCCTTGACCGCACCCACTTGGTATCCTCCAGTAAGATTATAGGCAACCTGACGAATAGCCGTGGGAGACATTGATCGCAGAGCACGAGACAAAATGGTATAATCGAAAGGATCGACAGAGACTCCTTTGCGATGGCAAATCTGACGATTAAGGTAATATGCCCAAGAGCGTCTGATCATGTGTCGAATCGATCGAAGGGTTTCATGTCTCAATGAGACAGACAAATAACCATCGAGTGTGAGAGAACCGTCCGTGGCTAGGGACCATCCAACTAATTGTAAATATCTGGCCATGGCTCCTGCTGGACCAAGGGGCGGTCCGGTGTGACAGACTATGGACTGAACAAATTCTTGCGCAAGCTGCGGATTAGTATGATAGAGCCGACGTATAAAAGACAGTCCTGTGGCGATAACATATAGTAGAGGGTCTTGAAGTTGGGAACTAAACAGGTGGACTGCGAGCCAGCTTGAGATCTGTTTTTCCGGTCCTATTAAGGCAATGGTTGCCTCACGTCGGAGTGTTCGAAAGTGCTTTTCCCCGACAATTTGAGTTTCTGCTCCGAAGAAAGCGTGTGGCCAAATTGCTGTTTGGATAAACTGGGCCTTTTGGGTGATGGTGGTCTGGAACCAACGCAGTCGACGACATCTCTGGACTGCACTATTAATCTTTGTTTTAAGGTGTCCCAGTGTAATATGGCGTGTATAATGAGTCATACAACCGAGATCTTTGGTTGAGTTAAGGATGCAAACCGGGTTATCATCAGGAAATTCCTCTTCAAGGAGCGTTTGCCATTCCAACCGCGCCTCTTTTGTAGCACCCCATGCCCAGGAT